TCTCAAGACGTTAACATGTCAGTGTGTTTTGACATTTTGAGCTGGTGCCCGATAACAGCCTTCTTGTGCAAGCGCAGATAAATATTTTCATTTTAGTTAGAATAATCTCAACTCCTTTAGGAAGTGGCTGGGAGCTGAAAAGCAGTTGTCACTTTGCACAGTGTTTTTATGCAGAGCAAAAGAGGAAAAAAAAAAAAAAGGATCAAATCAATTCTAAATCTTGACCAGAAACAGGTAATTCCTGTGTTCAGTGAAATTAATATGTGAGAATCGATCTTTAAGTAAGTAAACACAAATTTATTTGCATGATGTTTAGTTCAAACCAAGGAGAGAAGTGGTAGAGGTAAAAGGCCAAAATTCCTTAGCTGAATTCCATCTGTCTAAAAGTATTACAATACCTTGTTAAGCCGTTGTTTACTTGGAAGAATATGTATAGTAGTCTGATTACTGTAAAAACCATTGCAGTAGTGCTCTCCTGGCCTTAAGGACTGTAAGATCTCTAGGAATTCAGTGCTTTGTATCATACCACTCAATTGATCATCTTCTGTTCCCAAAAATATCTGGCAACATAACTGTTGTGGGCAACCTGTTCCTTTCTTACCTTTTCCGTTCTTCCTTTTTTCCTTTGTGTTTCATGTTTACCTTCCATTTGTTCCCTATGATTATATGGGTTTCTACCATCCAGTAGTGAGAGAACTGTCATTTCCTTCCCTATCTTATCCTGAAATATTAATCTGATAGCCTTATTGTATTTATCAGGTTAGTAATTGTCAGAGGCCTGGCTCTGAACCTTTAATTGCTTTTTGTGCTTGTTTATCTCTTGGAAACAGTTGCCTAACTTTCAGTATTTCTTCTGACTATAGAAGATGTAAAGTATAAACCTTAGAAGAGGCTTATAATGTTTACCTTGTTATGAGCTTTGCACGTAATCTGGGTGGTGTAAAACTGTGACCAAATAGTGCTCTGAGAGATAGGTGAAACTGAACTCCTGACTGTTACCCTTTCACAGTAATTCTTAATGGGCATTCCTTCGAGTAATTCTACCATAAATATTTTTGTAGATATATTTTGTTTTCCTTCTAAGGTACATTGACTACCTTTATATAGTGATATATATTGTAGTTGGAGGCTGTATGACAGAACTTTTGACAAGATCATCTGTGCTTCTGTTTTTTTTGTGTAATCTTAGTGAATCAGATCTCTAATGAACTTACGATCAGACTTTATTAACGTAGCTGTGTAAGGCCAGGTTACGTATACCATCCATGTGAAGAAGCCTGTCCTTAGTAATTGTGTGTGTGGGCGTTGTTCAGCTTGCTAGCCAAATGAGAAATAAAAAGCCTTCAGGAATTGATGTCTCATCTCTGGTAGCACAGAAATGATACTGAAATTAACTTTAAATTTAGATTAGTTCATCCCTGAAATACTTCAGAGATATGGTAGTGGTGGCAGATCTGCTTTCTAAGTAAGTGTCTGAGAAACTATGTTCTGCCTACTGAAAAAAGCAGTAGAGGTGGAAAATTGAAACTTAAATCTCACATTTCCTAGCTCTTTTTACTAAATGTGTTAAATTGTTGATGTTTGTTTGAAGTCTATTTGGGTCATTGGCATGTCCTGTTAATAACTACAGTCCGTTATACATTTCTAAACAGCGAGTCTGAATCTCTTCTTTTATCTGTCATGTGGTCTTTGAAAGAAGAAAAAAAAAAAAAAACCCTTCTATCTCCAGTGCTGTAGGCATTCACCCATCAGTTTTGCAAGAGAAGTATTGCTTAATCGTCATGAAACAAGCCTTTGATGCTGTGATCACACTGTGAATTGAACTGGATCAAATTAATGATATGGTAATAGAACTGATTTAGGAAAACTGATTTAAAAGATTCAGATCGTTTCTTGCATGAATAACAGATTAATTTGTGTAGCCGTAGCCATTTTTCCTTTTCAATTGGCAGGTATGGGAGAGATGCTACAGCATGTGTGCTGCATTTTGGCATTGAGCATGTTCCCAGAAAAATGGAATTGCCCATTCCGTATAGGCGTGCAAGCCTTATTGAATATAGTGCCGATTGTGCTAGATTACTGTTCATAAACAGATTAACTTTGCATTTGCCTAGCAAAAGAATGTTTTCCTTGTTTCTCGTGAGCCATTTCTGAGTTGTTTCAAGCTAGCAGCATGCGTTCTAGTGTTCCTGTATGTTGAATCAAACCACGGTATTCAAACAATTTTTTTGAACTCTTAAACTGAAAACCCAATACCTTTTTCATGTTTTAGTTCACTTTGTTGCTCACAAGTTAATTGGAATGACTAGTTAT